GTTCTCTTCAAATGTATAGCTGAGTTTTTAAGAAAGAAAAGGGAAGGCATATGAAGATGAAGAAACTTGGTCAATGCGCCTATAAAGGAATATTCAACCAGATCTGTAATAGTAACAATGTAAACTGCAGCCACACAAGTGAGATATGATGTTACACAAAACACACTGACAAATATTAATAAAAATAATTACACTGTTAAATGTCAGAAAATGTAAATCTTAGATATATCTAGTAAGAAACTAAATTGGTATGACCACTTTTGTCAAACAATTGAATAATACAAAGGAAAGCCAAGTTGTACTTGCTCTCTAGATGTTCTCTGGATACTATGAAATAATAATTAGAAAATAAAACTTAAATCTAATACCATTTATAATAGCAACTCTTGCAAATGTATGAAAGGAGACATGGAGAATATGTTCACTAGAGGACATAAGAAAGGTAAGAAAGGAAAATGCATACTTGGTTTGTGTATCTATTTCTATCAAAATGACTATTACCCCTTGTATGGTACAAGAAGTCAAATGAAGTCAATTTTCCACCAGTGGCCAACTGACTTTCTTGCGGGATAGCACTCTATCAGGAACTCAGGTTTGATTTTGTGGCTGGCAACAGGGCATTTGTCAGCCAGCATCAGCTAGATCCACATTCCAAATTCGAGATGCATGCAATTTGGCTCATGCATAACCACCACACCTGCCACCAGAGCTACTCCATTAACATGAATGCAATTGTACCGACCCTAGGTTGAAGAGAGAAGGTGATTGACTTTACCTGGCCCATTCATATCCTCTACACATATTTTTAGTGTTCCTTCTAGAAATTACTACGTGACATAAAGATCTTCACACTTACTATCATTTATGAAAAGATTCTTGGAAACATGTAAAAATAACAAACACACTTACAACCACATCATATAATATTTTCCTCCATAATGCTATTATTCAGAAAGAGAAGACATCAGAAGGAAAAATGAGAATCTCTTCCACTGGATAATAATTTTATACAGTTTTCTGTTTGCTAAAAGTTTTCATAAACAGGTTTATTCATTCATCTTTTCACATATGTGCCAGTCAAAATCTCAACAAAAAGCATACATTTTATATTGATGTGACATTTTCTATATAGAATTTGAGTTTTTTTTACTACCAGCTTTAAATTCTTGAGATTTCATACTTTATGAATAGGATCTGAGTATGTCAGGAGGCTCATAATTTATGGCTAACAAGATTTGCCTTTATCCATTAAAAATAGTCCCTGAAATTTGGAAAGGTAAATAATAATTTTTGCTGCAACAAAAAGGAAGAGTGTGTTATGAAGGTTAAGAACTAAGCAATCAACAAATGTTTTTAATTATAAATATATTTTAGTTTAAAAATCAATTAAAGTATGTACTGAACCCCTGAAAACATCTCTGTAAGTATTATTAATATAAGCTGCCATTTGCAGATAGATGTGTTTTTGGCAGTCAAATCTTGTTTTTACCATTATTCAAATAAAATCTGGAAAGCCACCTACTGTTTTAAAATTTTATAAATTATGTTTGAAGCTGTTTTCTGTATGTTTTATACATACATAGTTTTTAAGTTGTAACAGTTGCCACAACTCACATTAAATTGTTACATGAATCAGGCTGTGAATGCAGCACTTTAAAAATGTCTTATAAATATTAAATATGTTAATACTAAAAAGCTGGCTTGTGGAAAACAAAAGCAATACATATATTAGTGATTTCACTTCACATTTTATTTAATGGTCCTAAAATGTTTATAGTATGTGTGTTTGTGTGTGTGTGTGTTTGTGTCATTATAGTTCACACATAGTAGTAAAACACACATTTTCTAAAAGGGTATAGTCATCTGGCAGAGAAAATACATTTTCTTCCTTCACTTATTTTCTTTCATTCTTCCCTTTCTCCCTATATTTTTTCTTCTTCTTTCTAATATTTGATATTTAATAATTACTGGAGGGTTAGCATAATTGTTTATGTTGAAAATTGCTTCAGATTTGAATAGAGTTCCCCTTGTCTGGTCAGTAGATCAGACACCTCACCTGAAATCTGCTTCTCTATTATCCAGGCAACAGAAGCATGGTATTTATTCCTACAGTTCTAGAGAACTCATGGTGGCTTCTTCGTGAAAAACAGATGCTGTCAAAAGACAAGTATTTAGAAAGAGTCAAGAAGTGAAAATATAGTGCAGAGAAAAAGTGAAAAAGACCTGGATAAATAGAGAGATATCCATGCTCATGAATTAGAAGTTTCAATACTTTTAATATGTCCATTTTCTCCAAATGAGTCTTAGCTTTAATATAATCCCATTCAAAATATCAGCAGGATTTTTAGTAGATAATGAAAGACTGATTCTAAAATATATTAATACATGAAAATGTAAAGTACCTAGAATATCCAAAACTTTTTAAAAATAATTATTTCTATCCAGAATACATAAAAATTAATCTCAATGAATCAAAAATATAAACATACCAATCAAAAACTAAAGATGAAAAACAAAAGACTCGAATAGGTATTTTACAAAAGCATATATATATGATGAATAATAAAACCATTGGTCATCAAGAAAGTAAATAATTGAATATTTATTGAAAATAATGTTGAAAAATGGATAACAAAACCATTAGTCATTAAGAAAACACAAATTAAAACCACAATTAAAAAGGTCAATAATACCAAAGGTTGACCAGGATAGAGAGCAACTGGAATGATTAATACATTGTTTATGAGAGTGTGAGATGTTTCAGCTCTCTCTCAAAAGAATTTTCTTTATTGACATGGTGTATTAGAGTTTGGGGCACAAAGTACGCGGCGAAAAACATGCACAAAGTAATGCTCAAGTAGAAAGATATGAAACAGAAAGATATGTATGATAATTTACATTTCCAATTAACATTGTCATGTAAGAAAATGGGGTTAGTGAGAAAGTCAAAGGTTAGATCTGGAAGAAGCCCTTAAATGTTATCTACATGTAATGGATGACCATATGCCTAAAGTTTTAGAAAATACAAGTTAAGCTGTTAAGTATATGACATATACCCTCATAGTGGTCTGGCAAGACAAGCTCCACTTTTGAAATCTTGAACCTTTTGACCTTCTTTACCAGAATGCCAGTAAGAGGAGAGTTGAACCTTGGTCTGCCTTTCTCTTTTGACACACATAGCTTCACCCTACACCATAAAAATACTGTTGCTAATGTCTGTGGAAAACCTAGTCAGGCAGGCAAGCCAAACCATACCCCCCTAAAACAGGCACCCCTTTGATATTCCTATATCACATTCCCTTGACCACACAGACTCTTCATCCCTTGAGTAAGAATGTGGCCAGAGGAGAGCTGGCCACAGGTTCTATGCCACAAAGCATAGAACCTTCCTAGGGCATTGCGTGCCAATTATAATAACATGGGCATTCTCTTGCAAACTAAAATGAGCTATTGAAGACACTGCTTTATATGCATTTTTATTTTTCAAATATCTATAGATCAAGAAAAGATATAAATAGGAATTATTATCCTTACAAAGAAAAGCAACACGATACTTATATTGTGCACCTTCTTCAAAAGACTTCATTTTATTAAAGTACTGCATAATAGATAGAATTTGCAAACGACTAAATAAAATGTACAAAACCATCTGTCATGTGTAATGCTCCATATATTTCAAGTACCCCAAATAACTCTGCTAAACAATAGGAACTGTTTAAAGCCTTGCTATAAATAACATTTGCATGTATTCACTCTAAGACTCCTGCTAACACTGCTCCTGAAATCCCCTGATCTCTTTGACATAAAAAGAGTAGGAGGAAGGAAATGGGAGGAGAACTTAATGGACATAGACCTGGAAGAAGAATCTAGAAATCCTGGTTTTCAGTCAGCATTACCCATTTGCTCCTCATTTACGCCTGATGAATGCAGGCTGAAACTATTTTCTTTTCTGAAAACTTCTTCCCTGACACTATAAATCAAACACTAAATACACATGAGAATGATAGCAAGTGATGGAATAATGTATATCTTAAAAAGAAAAATGCCAAACACATTAACATTGTCATGTCATAAAACTGGTATACCTAAGGATGTGGGGGAGAGGGAGAGATATTCATTTAATGAGTTAAAAAATTAGAGATCAAAACCCCCATCTTCCATCAACATTTCATACATTAGGAATTTTTTGGCCACGAAAACAATCTTTGTCACAAACTTGGGGGAGGGATCACTATTGTCAGTGTTAACTGTTGATGCCAGTGGTTTCCTGTCACTTCGTGATAATTGGTAATGTAGTTATTGGGTTAATCAGGTATTCATGGTGAAAAGAATTAGACAGGTGACTGTACCTGTGAACCAAAAACAAAACCATAAGCCCTCTGATAACTGAATGGACCCCTCTCGAACACGGAGACCCCAGAAACACCTTAAAACTAAGTTCTCAGCCATGACTGGATGACAGATATAAAGAACAAATTACCTGTATGTGATTTCCCTTCATAAATAATTGTGACTCCTCCTATAGCTTGTTGAATATGTATATTTGACAACACTGGTCAATATAAAATCCTGTTACCTTGTGCCTGACTTCTGCCTGGGGCTCATCTTCCCAACCTGTTGGGATGGGCGCCCAGCAGGTTGCTATCCTTTATGAGAAAGATAGCTCTCCTTTTTCCCAAACATAAACATTATTAATTTTTTTTTTAGTTAATATACCCACATTCTGGAATACTCATTTATATTACAGGGACTCTGGGAAAACTTGTGTTTTGCAAAACAATATAATTTGAAATTTCCATCCCTATGTGAACCATGAGTTCTAATGAATTTTGGGAGGTATGTTTAGAGGATTTGTCTTGCCTTTTCTTGGTCCATTTTTTCTAGGACACTGGTAATTATCTTTTGGTTGTCACTGATCCTTTTTAAAATGTGATGAAAGCCATAAACTCCCAACTTAGAAAAGCACATGTACCCACTCAAAATTTGTTATGCAATTTCAGGGAGTTCCTGACCCCCTGTAACCCTCCACATGGGTTTCTTACATACCCTGGGCCTATTTCCTCAAGCAGTCTTGGAATCCAAGATTCACTAATACAGACTAACCTACATATAGTGAGTATTTAGTAAGTATTGATTGAGTAAACATTAGTTCTCTTTGGAGGACAAAAGTTGAATCTGTGGTTATTTTTTTTAAACTTTAAAAATTATTTTTCTATGAGGAACTGATTCTCCAATATAAATGCTCAATTTACTTAAATATTCAATTGAATCATCATGTTCTGCTTTCAGCAAACATCTTCTTGTATATATGTATATATATAATAAATATATGCTATCATAATATTATGTAAGCAATAGCTTAGTGTTTAAGAACATACATATGCTTTAGTGCCAGATGGATTGAGCTTAAAATGGTGAAATTCTGTGTATATCAGTTTAATAAAATGGAAATTCAATTAATATTTAGTAATAATTTGATGCCAATTAAACAAATTAAAAACATAAAAATGAAAAATAGCAAACTATCTGACATAGTAAGTACAACTAATATTTAGTTGTAATTATTATGAGGAGAATGTTTATTGTACAAGAAGTATTCTATCTAGATATATATTTATTAAAAAACAACGATTAAGAAAAGTAATGTAACATGAGTGGTTAAAATTTACATTTATAGTTGAAAAGTAAACACTTAAATTTGTTATATTTAACAAATATATTGTTTTGTAGTTTATCCCTAGCATTATTATAAGGAATATAAAAGAATGTGGGTTTTTTAATGCTTCAATATTAATATGAAATAAGTATAGTCATACCAGTCCCTTTACCAGTCTGTCTTTCTCTAAAACTAAGCAGTCAAAGAGTGAGTGTAGGACAGAGAGAAACCGTAGTTTTAATCACTTACATTACTGTTGGCTGAAGAGCTATTCCATATTTAATATTTTGGCTCATAGGAAGATGTCAGATTCCTAATAGGATCCATGCATGTTCTTTTCTGTTGATTTAGATCACATTTCCTACTTATATTCAGGCTAAAATAAACAAGAAAAGGAAATAAAACTTACTAGTGAAGTCGTGGATAATGTGAAAGAATTTGAATGTTTGTAAAATAAAGCTCATGTTGGAACTTATTCTGCCATTTCTTTTCCAAAAAAGCTGTTCTTAATATTTTTATTTGTTTTTTACTGGAAAATTATATTTTGAGAGAACATAGTCACTATATATTTGAATAGCTATTATTTCTGTTTCAATACAATTGCACTGAATGTGCAAATTTATATCAGTCAGCCTACTATTTGTAAAAAGCTTGAAAATACAGATAATGGAGCTAATGCAGCTCCAGGTTTTGTTTTATAATCTAGCTAGGCATTCAGGAAGCAAAACATTATTTTCTTCTACTTTGTTATTATTGCAAGGGATGTGCAGACTTGTCTCTATTTTACAGGATGTCCTAGGGGACTGAAGATACAAACCCTGTCCACTACAAAACAGTGATAAGGTTCACTGCCAATGTAGTTTGGGTAGATTTATTACAGGGAAGCTTAACTCTGTATTTATTTCTTCTGATTTTGTAAACTATAATGTGTGTGGGATAGATCACCAGGGATAGAGAATCATTCTTTTTGTGTTTCTACTTGTCCTGAAGATAAAAATTTAACAGATTCTATTTTATGTACAACTGTAGTCTATGAAACTATTTTCCTATACACACCATCTACATTCAATAGCCAAATTTTCTATGGCTCCTTGGATTAATGGTACTTGGTAACCTAGATTCCAACTTTCACATCTTTGCCCACATTTTTTTTCACATTTGAAATTGTTTTCCACTCCTTACATTTACATAAATTCTATTTGTAATTTATGATGTTAGCAAAGCTTCATCTCCTTCATGAAGTCTTCCTTGACCACACAATATAAAATGATCTCTTGCCCTTCCCTGTAGCATTCGTTCTCTGTGACTTTTTAAAAAAATGCGTGACTCTGCCTCAGCAAATTTGCATTTGTTTAGTATATGTAAAGTCAATATGTTGGATTCATCCAATGAGCTTGTCTAAACTCTTATGAAACAGAATTATATCTTATACATGGAAAGGAATCCTCCTTATTCTTAGTGCCAGAGCCCACTAGAAGGTCTGTTTCTTTCTTGGGCCTCTGGCAAGTCTTCAAGCTCCAATCATAGAATAAAACAGGGGGTGGCAAATTATAGTCTATGGGCTAAATCCTTTTTGGCTGCCAATATTTTGTAAAAGGTTTTATTGGAACTCAGCCACACCTAACGGGCATGGTATGCACTGTCTGGGGATGGACACACGTATAGCTCTGACTCTGATGGTGCAAAGGCAATACATGTAACCTCAACACGTGTACCCCTGTAATATTTAACAACAACAACAACAACAACAACAACAAAACGGGTCATAGTATACAGTGCTCTACTCTCTGTTTGGAAGCCACTAAGATACAGGGTCTATGGCTCTTTTTTCTACCCACCCAATGCTCTAGGAGATCAGGAAAAGGGAGGAGAGTCCTAGCTTGGCTGAATGAAAATTACTCCAAGTGTGCTGAGAAGGCTGGAGTTTCTATAAGACTTTCCCTGGGCAAGAAGCACAACCCTCATAAAAATTACAAACAAAATTAATACAGGCTTTCAATAAGGGGATTGTAAAGCTGAAAGAAACCTTTCTAAGATATTACAATAAAAATTACATTTCTATCAAATACTTTGGTGGAAAGATTGAACTGTCTTCCTGTTCTCTCTATAGAAATTCTTATTACAGGATTTGTTGCCATGGATAAGGCAGCCTAAGAGTATACAACTAAAAATATAAGCAAAACAGTATTATAGAGGTGAGTCATTTAGTTAATTAAATGTTTCAATTAAGTTGTTTTGGAGGATTGTATAATAACTTGATATTTTCCAGATCATTAAAATTAATCTTATTTCTTTGTATAATTCTAAGGAAGAATTTACTGTGTACCTCATTTTGTAATCATGGTTATGTATTTTTTTCCCTTCAAGAGAGCTTCTCAAAATGTACATCCACCCCTGTCAGAAACTCATTAATTGCCACCTATAGTCTCCACCTGGATGTTTTGGAGGAATCACGCATTAAATATGAACATATCAGCTCCCCAAAGCTCTAAACACTAAGATGAGATCTCCAGAAAGATTTGTCTAACCTTTCTTCTCATGGGCTGGATTAGTTCTCTTCTTTTGAGCTTTCATAAGTGCTTGTACCGTCCTCTAACAGAGAATTCACTACCATTTACTTCCATTTTGTTTCTCTTTGTCCTCTTTTTCATTATACTCTTAAGTTCTCAGGTATAGAGACTAACAGGTCATGATAGACTCATTTAGTAAAAACTCTGATTTACAGTTGGCACTATAAACAATATGTAATGCATTTTCGAGCACATCTATAAATGTTTATTCTTTATTTTATGGATTCAATGATTCAATTAGTCAACAAATAAATAAATATAAGTGCATATGAATGAATAGACACTGGGCTTGACTTCACAATCTTCCTCAATAGGTTACTTCAGTTAGCTGCTTCCTCAACAGGTTACTTCAATTCACCTACTAATGTCAATTATTTGACATTAGTAGGTGAATTGAAGCCTATTCACCATCAATGAGGGATTCTTATTGCAGATGCAAAAATGTTGGTGATGCAAAGAACTCTCTCCAACATTATTGACACAACCAGTTTCAGACTGAGTACTCTGTTGTTAGCTTACTCCATTTTGTTAGTTGTTAGCTGAATGAATAACAATGGTAACCTAATACAGCTATGTTAGCATAGATTCAAGCCCCTAATAAATGGAGTAACTTTTTTAAAATGCAGGTTTTATAGTAAATATGTTGTAACAGAGATCATTAAGTGAGAAGTTACTCACCATATTTATACAGGGAAATATATTATGTTACATTACCCACATCCTCAGATGTTTTTATAATCTCAGGAACTGAACCAAGCCATTGGAAATGCTCTCCACTCCATTTAGCCTCACTGTGAGTTTGGCGTACTTGTGAATTTTTTCCTCATAAATATTCTTAACGGTGAAGAATCTGGAGATAATTTTCATAGATTCATTAAAGTGAGGAAGATGCAGTCAGTACAGAAACAAGACTGAGAACAGCTACTGTCTATGTGCTGTGGTCTGCTATGCAGTGATTGGGCAGGCTGCAGGCCACATGTCATACTCAGAGATGGCTCAAAAGGGCGGGGCTCCTGTCTGTGTATTTTCCCTACTTTCCACTTATATCTTTGAACATAGAAGTTTGAGGTTAGGTGGGTCATTTGAAGTAATTAACTCTTTGTTAGGCTTGTGCCAAGGAAAGAGATGTATTTGGACATTTAGAAGTAGGGGACAGAATTTAAAGAACAATGACCCTAGGATGTCAAGGAGCTCAGGATAATAATGTCTATCCCCTAGAAGGTGCTCAATAAACTTTTACGAAACATAGGAATAAAAATTTGATGGCAAGAATGAAAATATAGGCCAGGCGCGGTGGCTCATGCCTGTAATCCTAGCACTCTGGGAGGCTGAGGCGGGCGGATTGCTCGAGGTCAAGAGTTCGCAACCAGCCTGAGCAAGAGCGAGACCCCATCTCTAGTATAAATAGAAAGAAAACTAATTGGCCAACTAATATGTATAGAAAAAATTAGCCGGGCATGGTGGCACATGGCTATAGTCCCAGCTATTCGGGGAGGCTGAGGCAGCAGAATTGCTTGAGCCCAGGAGTTTGAGGTTGCTGTGAGCTAGGCTGACGCCACGGCACTCACTCTAGCCTGGGCAACAAAGTGAGAATCTGTCTCAAAAAAAAAAAAAAAAAGAATGAACATATAGTGCATGTTTTCCCTGAGGGATAGAATTCAAATCACTTTACTAGCTAAAAAGAAAGCCAGGTTGGAATGGAGAACTAGATTTTGTGTTAATATTAACAATTTAGGATTCTGTAACTAAGTGATGCACCTGAAATTTGACTTATTCTCTATAGTCCCTTGACCACAACAGGTTTTTTGGTGCATATGTGTCTTTTTAAAATGATTGAATCCTGTGGTTCTCAAACATTGGTTTTAAATCTTACAGATCACTATCATTTGACAAGTTC